CGGCAACGGCAGAGTTGTAGTTGTTGTTGTTGTTGTTGTTGTTGTTATTATTATTATTTATATACTGCGTAACTCAAACAACTCTGGGTAGTTGCAAAAGAATAGAATAGAATAGAATGCAGAGTTGGAAGGGACCTTGAGGTCTTCTAGCTCAACCCCCTGCTCAGGCAGGAAACCATATGCCATTTCAGACAAATGGTTGTCCAATCTCTTCTTATAAACTTCCAAATTGGAGCATTCACAACTTCTGGAGGCAACTGATTAATTGTTCTAATTGTCAAGAAATGTCTTCTTAGTTTTAAATTGCTTCTCTTCTTGATTAGTTTCCATCCATTGCTTCTTGTCCTGCCCTCACGTGCTTTGGAGAATAGCTTTAGCTATTCATCCATACAGTCCAAAGGGAGTTTCAGTCAACTCTCATCAAAGGCCTGGGTGAAGAAGCAGGTTTTCAAGGCCCAGTGAAACACCAGCAGAATGGTGGGGTCAGCCAGATCATAGCAATCTCATTCCGGAATCAATTTTAGAGCCAAATTTTAATGCAGGATTTTATATGAAATGTTTACTTGCCCCACTCTTAAGTGATAGAAACCTATTCATTTAACCAAACATATGTAGAGTATGTACCTTTTTTTCTAGTTGAATAGCAATTAAAAGAGATGAAATCCAAATACATTTAGATGACACTAGACTGGAGAAGATATTATAGAATACAGTGTTATGGCCCTGAACACTAGTATGCTTTTGGTCATGTCTTTTTTTAATTGGTTCAGAATAGTATACATTGTTCATTTTATATGCAGCAGACATTGTAGGAATCTTTAAAACAAAATAAAATCTTTCATTTATTTTATCAAATTTATCAAAAGGACTATTGATTCTTCATTACAATTCATGAATTAATTTGGGAATGTTACACAGTTATTGATCAATTGCATATAATTCCTTAATACAGTTAATATATCTTCATGCATTATTCAACAGTAAGTTATTAATATTAAAGCATATTATTTAATATTAACAGTCACTTCATTTATTAAGGGATGAATTATGAGATGCTCTTAGGAACAATTTATCTTAAGGTTTAAGCTTGCTATTCCCTGCAAAACTTACTGCATCATCTATATGTTAATGCCATTTCCCAGTAACTATGCAAAAAGTGTTTTCCCTATGGAAGTGTGATAAGAAGTCTCAGCTCTTGGAGTTTGCAAAAAAATATTTTTTAAAAAATAATAGAATCAATTTTTCAAAATTCCTATCCTTTTATGTTCTACATGAAATGATATGCCTGTGATTCCTTTTCCAAGAGTTCAGGAGAAGGACCAGGTCCTGGAAAGGGTTTTTCTGTGGGTTGTTGCCCCAACTCTACGAAATACTATTCAAATTAATATCCCCGCCCATATCATTTCAGAAAGAGTTGAAGACTATCCTCTTGTACTGGGTTTATGATGATGTGTAGTTATAAAAAATGTTTCTACACTCTATGCCCAATCATTGTTTATAATAAATCTGTCTTTATTATGGTTTTTATATTTTCTTCGGTTCCACCACAAAATCGCGCTCGACGAAAGCGCACATTTGACGTCATCACAGCGCGACGAAAACATTGCATTGTGATCGAAAAATGTAAAAATAAAGCTAAAACCTTACCCTAACCCCCCAAACCTAACCCTAAACCTAACTCTAAACCTAACCCTTAACCTAAGCCTAAACCTAACCCTTAACCTAAGCCTAAATCTAACCCTAAACCTAACCGTTAACATAACACTAAACCTAACGCTAACCCTTAACCTAACGCTAAACCTAACACTAACGCTCTAACCCTAACCCTTAACCTAACCCTAACCCTAACCCTAACCCTTACCTTTATGTGAATCGGCTTGCTTTAATTTTAATTTTATTTCAATTTTTAATTTTTTTCGTCACGCTGTGATGACGTCACATGCGCGCTTTCGGCGATCGCGATTTTGTCCTCCGTGCTTTTGATGGGTCACGGTTTTCTTCATTGTGCAACATATTAGCTAATAATTGTTGGTTTTCCGGCAGCCCGGTATTTTAAATAGAATTGTACAATATTCATGAACCTTCATATATTTTGAAAGTTAGAATCTAGCATAGTCTACTAGGCCAGAGAAGAGTGTTAAATAAATCATAACATTGTTGCTGGATTGAATAAGGAACTAAAGTTTAGAGTTTTTAAGTATTATTTTAATTATAACATATAATAAGAGCACTAAGATATTCAGCAATAATAAAATTAAACAAAAAACATCCAAAAATGAAAATGAATTTTAACAAAATAAAGTAGACAAAAAAGAAAGAAAGGAATTCTACTTTATACATCAAACTTATAGTTATTTATTGGTTCATAAAAATATAATAGAATAGAATAATTAGGTACAAAATGATATTGTAAAATATGAAATCTATGTCAACAAAGAATGTATTATGTCACCCTTTGATTAGTAGAAAACAATGCCTTTTTCAGACTGATAAATTCCTTATTTCCTAAAGCCACTCCTTAATATTTAAAATAATGTCACATTTCCAATTTCTCAAAAGTATTCTTTTTACCGACTCCTTTCACCTCCCCATCCTATCTCACATAGTACTACCATAATTTTTCCTAGTTAGTTATCAGTTTTGACATATAATTAACTTACATTAATTTCTTTAGCATTTAAACATTTCCCTGGATATCTATTTGCATACAGTAAAATACTGTTCCCCAAAATGTCAACAATTCACAAGATCATATCGTGAGTAGGAGTACAGTGGTTCATGTGGTTAAGGACGCTAGGTTACCAAGTCCACGTTCCAGACCTGAGTGCTATTGCATGGCGGAGTGAGCTCCCGTTACTCACTCCAGCTCCTTGACAGGGTCATGAAGGAATGTCCCTTGGTCAATGGTGATGTCATCAGCTAATCCTTTTGACCTGAAAGCACCGTACAAAGTGCCTCCAATACAAACAGGACAGGGTCATTTGAGTGAATGAATTCTCAAAATTTTTACAGAGAAAATCTGATGTCCATGATATGATAGACATGGGAGCCTAGAGAGCCCTGTGAAGAGGGTGGAGCAAATCTTTTGGCTCATTTTGTGGGTGGGATTAAAGAATAAGAAGCAAAATATGTGTCTTAAGTCTTCCAAAGGTGCATATTATTATCCCTTAACACATACTTAGTCCACTTTTTCAGATTTTGAATATGTTCACTGATAACTTGGCCCCTTAAATATCCCAGTTCCCAAAGAATTCCCCCAAATTTTGTCTCTTTCTGCTCTGTGGACATAGAGTTATTCTGCTGTACAAGGAGAATACTTCTTTCAAAAGAATTCCTTCTTAAGATTTTTCTAAAGTTTGAACAAGATTTTTATATATAGAAAGCTGTATCTTATAAAGCACTTGTATTTTTATACTACAGATGGAATGAACTAGGAGGATATGTAGTTCCCAGTGGCCGTTTGCAGGTAAATGAAATGAACTTTTAAAAAATTGTTATTAAATACTATAGATCAATATTCTCAGATAGGCAAGCTATATTTATCACTAGAGAAAGCAGTCTTTTGGAGAATTATTGTGAATTTACATAAAAGTGATGCTTCTACTTTATGTTCATAAAAGCATTTTAGAAATGTTATACTATAAGTAGAAATACAGCACATCTCATAACAAGGAAGCTCATAATACAAATATTTGATTATCTGCTCAATGTGAAGGAATTTGGAAATCTGGAAAAAATAGTATGAACAATCTTATTTGGTTACAGCCAATATAGTTAATCTTGGATCAGAAAAAGAAAGCCCAGCATATCCATAGGCACAACTTTCCTCCCATGAACAGATGCTCATAGGCAAATGTGTAGCCTTGAAGATTATGTTCTGTGGATTGAGGGCAAATAAAAAAAAAAACAACCCCTACCCTGAAGGAGACTTTGGCATTTACTGATGTGTTTTGAGCTAATTAGAGATTCTGCATTTATGAAAATGATTTTTCAGACAGGAGTTCTTCGAACCAATTGTGTGGACTGTTTAGATCGCACAAATACAGCCCAATTTATGGTTGGGAAATGTGCTTTAGCCTACCAACTTTATTCCTTGGGATTGATTGACAAACCTAATCTTCTGTTTGACACAGATGCCGTTAGGTAAGACTTTCCTTCTGCAAGATTTAGTAAATACAGCCATTTGTTTTACACTACTAATTCTTTTCTAAAGCTCTATTTCTGCACCTCATTTCACATTAACTTGAATATTTTAGCATATTGAAATACGGATTCGTTTATCTGACAGCTGAAAAATCTTTTTCTATTCCCCAAAGCATGGATGGATAGATGGATTTTTTTATTTATTGCGGAAACATTTTTGCTGTTCCAATTTAATTAATTCTAAAGCAGCTTTTGTATGGTTCTAGTTGACTTTAAATTGGCATTTAACCTTTCTCAAACCTTTTTGGTAAAAATTATAGTAAGCCTTATGAAATTGGAGAGGTTCTTCAGTTCCTAGGGGGTTGAATGACAAATGCTAATGGATATTGGTTATGAGAAAGATTAAATTAAAATGCCAGTTGATTATTATTCTTTTTAGTAGAGAAATAAATAATAATTAATAATAAATTCTCTAATTTAATATCTAAGAAGAATATTTTTATGTTTGGCTTTTAAATGTTTGCTCTCCTCTATGCTTCTTTTTTGGGAGGAGGGATGCTTACAGATTCAAAGATCAGCTGCCCATATGGAGCAGGGGATATGAGACAGTAACGTGTGCATTTACAAAGCTCGTGTTATAGCGATGTCCATGAACGTGTCCTTTTTAGTAAGGATTTCAATCGAGCTAGATGCATCTTTTCAACATTTTATTTTAGCTGATAATTGCCGAGCAGGAACAACAGACAAAGCAAATGTCTGTGTGGGAGCTTTGCTACTGGCCATATGAGGTCAATATCAATTTTCCTTGCTTTGCTTTGAGTCATAGTTTCAAATCTGTATTGTGTGGATATAATGGAAGTTTTTAACTTGCACTCTATCTATTATCTATGTTAGTGATAAAGCCCTAAATTTATCGCATGGCAATATATTTCTGCCTTCTCAAGAAATAGCTAATGGTTTCCCATTTGCATCTGTTCCACTAAGATGCAATTCTAAACTATGTTGCTTTTCCTGATTTAGATTATTTGAAGAATTATATGAAGATCATGGGGATACATTGTCACTCCAGTATGGTGGCTCTCAACTGGTTCATAGAGTAAAAACCTACAGGAAAATAGCACCCTGGACCCAGCATTCTAAAGATATTATGCAAACTCTTTCGAGATACTATAGCAATGCTTTTTCAGGTATCAAATTGAATTCTGTGTTTGAAAATTTTTCCCCCCATATCATTTAAGAGGCACTTTTAGAGGTAATTTTTCTAATTAATAATAATTAATAGCAATCAGGTTTGACTGAGAATATTGTTCTGATTAAAAAGAGGTTTATCAAATAAAAACATGGATATGTATATACACAAGAAATTTTGTTTTATGAAAATAAAAGTATTCTCAAATTAAGTTCTTGTACATATGTACAATTGTATAATATGTTCATGGTGTATCCAAATTTAATTTTCCATGTACTGCTATATTGGAAATTGATTTACACATAATAGCCAAGGTTATAGAATAGAACAGAATTCCTTATTGACCAGGTGTGATTGGAGCACAAGGAATTTGTCTTCGGTGCATAAGCTCTCAGTGTACATAAAATATATGTGATAAATCATGGATAATAGATTTGTTACACATAAACTGTGAGCTGTTGAATTGACTCTTCACACGATTCCTGTTTTGCTAAAGAAAAATATATTAGTTAATGAAGGGATCATTTGTAGAGCAGAGATTGAGAAAACTCCCAAAAAGTATAATATGGAAGCATTCAAGGAAGAACCTAGCTTCCAAGTTTAATGTGAAAGAAATAATTGGAGAATAAGTTATCTAGAAGATAAATCTGTAATTAAACTGAGATTGAAATAAAATAAAATTGATTTTAAGGAGAAAGGAAAATGGAACTTGTTGTGTTAGGCATCATGGAACGGCATATTAGAAAAAAATATGGAAAGGCTATAGAAAACAGATATATGCATAAATGCATGCAAATTGCCACTGTATTCTGTTCTCTTTGTAAGGAGGGACATGAGATATGTGTGGACTTATCCATAGTGATTGGCGGCTGCAGGCAGGAAGATATGCAAGAATATAATTATGACTTTTGGTGCATAGACTTTTGCAACTATGTTAAGAAATAATTTGAAACAACAATTCTGTTTGCAGCTGTAGGTTTCCTATAATGTTAATCATCTATTCCCATTCCAATTTTAAGCTTTCTGGCAGTAAAACTAATGATATATTTTGAGTGAACATATATTTTTTTTAAAAAAAATAATTTTAATTTTAAAAATTTAAATTTTTTTAAAAATAAATCCCTTTCCTTGTATCTTTTAGATGCTGACCGGCAAGATTCTATTAACTTGTTTCTAGGAGTATTTCAGCCTGAAGAAGGAAAGTCTCATCTCTGGGAACTTCCTACTGATTGTTATTTGCATCAAAAGGACACAATGAATCTTCTCCAGACAAGGCGAAGGTATTTCATTTCAGTATTCCCGAAGTACAGAAAATCAAATTGTTCCATTCCATTTCCTCCTACCTCCATCCTATATTTTAGTGGGTTGGAGGGAGCTTCAAGAGAAAGAGCGTATGCCACTTTTACTAACGGGAACCTGTGGAAGAGTTTTGAATTGCAAGCAGAAACTTCCATTAATAAAATTTACTTTTTCAAAACTTTTTCCATTCATAGAGTTATTTATTTAGTTATCAAATTTGTATAGTCACCTATCTCACCAAAAATTGACTCTGGGTGGCATACAACAATAGAATAACACAACAAACATAAAAACATCAGATATGGAGATACTGTATAAAAATCCACCTTAAAAGGTGATATAAAAACAAAGATTGCATGCAAGGCTCTCTCCATCCCATAGCAAGCCAAAGGGATCTCTGCATGCAATTCTGCCATGATCTGTCTCAAAAAATGCATTAGGCATTATTTTCCCGACTGCTGTCAGCAATATCTTTCTATCTACATAACTGAAATAAGTAATGTTTAAATTATCAAGCAGTAGACAGATATCACAATGAAAGGAATTGGCAAGGGATCCCTCAAAGATCTTTTTTCAGAACTAAAGTATGTCAAGTATGTTATAAATAAACTGGACTTAACAGCATGGCTGGTGGCAATTAATTCAGGATGCTAAAAACAAAAGAAATACCAAGAGTTCCAAAATTGTTCTCCAAATTAAATAAAGATTGAAATGAAAAGCTATATTGAAGTAGAAGTTTAATGTAATGTACACTGGGACAAAATATATATTTTAGAATTGGAAAACATGCTAATACTTAAATCAAAATGATTAGGAGTATTAAGCAGCGGTACTATGAGGAAGAATTTCAACATTTTTTGTTGAAATGACTAGGGGAGACATGATAGCAGTGTTCCAATATCTCAGGGGCTGCCACAAACAAGAGGAAACAAAGCTATTCTCCAAAGCACCTCAAGGTAGGACAAGAAGCAATGGGTGAAAACTAATTAAGGAGAGAAGCAGCTTAGAACAAAGGAGAACTTTCCTGACAGTTAGAACAATTAATCAGTGGAACAACTTGCCTCCAGAATTTTTGAATGCTCCAACACTGGAAGTTTTGAAGAAAATATTGGATAAACATTTGTCTGAAGTGGTGTAGGGTTTCCTGCCTAAGCAGGGGGTTGGACTAGAAGACCTCCATGGTCTCTTCCAACTCTGTTCTTATATTACATTTGTAGAGAGAGAGAAAATAGTGTGAGCTTCAGAATGTAGAATAGAAAATTACGATAAATTAGAAAATCATCATCAGGTAGTATAATTTTAAGAGAACTAGGTAAATTTGTGGATGATATGACAGTGAACAGCTACCACTCATAAATGCTTATTACTGCTTCCAGGATCAACTACAGCCTGCACTTGAATATTAGTTATTGTAGAACAACATGAGGAAGGGTTATTGCATTTATGATCTGCATGTAAAAGTATCCCATTGGACACTACCTAAAGCAATATTACTATATGTTGTATTATCATGTTATAGTTACAATATGAAGATAGTTTACACTGTAAACTCGCGACCTTACTGTCAGTTTAGTTGATGCCTTTGAGATATGATTCAGAATTACAGCTTTATCTCAATTTGTTCAGTCAGAGTGACCATGATGGAGAAAGCAGCTAGAACTTATTCTTTGATTATATTGGTTTGTAAAATGTACAGTCTTTGTAGAAAATGGCTTCTTTATGACTAAGGATAAGATTATTATCCATAGCAATATGAGGAGAGAAATGTTCAGTCACCTTCAGAGATTTCATAATGCCACTAAGAGAACAAAAACAAAGCAAAAACATGGTTGATGGCCAAAATGACACACACATACAGAAGTGGAACAGTGTAAGGATTTGTCAAGAGTAGAAGACAATGAAGCTTTTAAACTGGTGGGAAATACCTTCTAGTTTCAAAGTTAGCAGGTACACATATTTGCTTCTAATATATTGCTTTACAAGGGCTCAAAAGGTTATTCACAAAAATTACATATTGCAGATACGGTACTCTACAGTATGATCATTTCCATTTTCTAGCAGAGAAAATGAAACTTTTTGCAGGATTTAGGGGAGTAAAATTAATCCTAGGTGACTGGATTGAACAATCCAAACAATTCAATTAACATTAAAACAGCAAGAGAAAATGTCTGGTTAGTTTTATTACATTTTCAGAATACACAGTTGATTGGCTTGGAATATTTCCCAGCAACCTATTTGTAGGCCCTCTTTTAAAGACACCTTTCCATCCTAATATATATACAAATAGCCCCAAAGGTGCTTTTTTTCAAAAGAGAACTGGACTTCGTTAAGTTTTTTTTTCTTTTGAAAATATTTCACTTCTCATCCAAGAAGCTGTTATGAGACCTATGGAGTAAGAAAGCATACTTACTATCATAGTTGGATAAATTATGAGTTTTTAAATCATGAGATTCAATGTGCATGGTAAGAGCATTAGGTTGGCAATTGGAAAGGACAATAGTATCATATCCAGACGTATGATTTCACTTTGTTGACATATTAATAAGTAAGATACTGATGCAAAAAAGACATTTGAAAGAGAATGACATAACCTCACGTTCTGAACCTCAAGTTCTGTGAATGATTAATATGATTTTAATACCAGGTATAGCAAACTAGTCTATCATAGGAGTGTCTTCAACAATTGGCTCTATTTCACAACTGCCAAAAGCTGAAAGAGATGGAGGTTGGGACAAGTTCATTAATGCTAAGTTAAACGCTTGGGAGGAACTATGCAGCAGTACAGTTCTGCAGCAGTCAGAAGCTAAATATATGAGTAGTACTGTGCTCGATTTCTGTTATTCAGAAGTAAGATAGTTTAAACTTTTACAAATACTTTTTGAAAAATCAATCATCAATGTTAATATATAGTTTTTAATATAAACAAGCAACATTGTAATTGTTCTATGTCACATTTTATAATGGAAGGGGAAGATGTATATTTCTGTTACTTTAGGACTAATTACCTATAATAAAAAGTGGTCTGGATATGAATGATTTCTTAAGAATGTTATGTATTTTACTTTAGTGGGCTGTTCTGTTAAGAATGATATGCAGTCTTGACTGAAATAATGAATGTATTATATGTAAAAGATGGTTATTAAGCTAGATAATTATTTAACTTCAACCTCACAGCTAATTTCTCATTTATCTTTATAATGGTTCTAATTTGCTGCATCATATCATAAAGAATTTATAATCTAAAATTCAACACTAAGACTATTGGAAAAGAAAGCTTGGATAATACGAAATGTGTAATTGTGTATACATACAGTATATGTGGGCTTAGCAACTATAGGCCATGAGGAATAGGGTGAGGGTTTGGGTAGAGGCCTCTGAGGGCAGCAAGAGGAGAAGCATTATGTGACAAGAGGCAATTGCAAATATAAGATATGTGAAGGATGAATAAATGTTTTTCTCATTTTATGTTTGTTGTTTTTTGTTTAAAGCTATACTTTTTGGTGGACTCCTGGTGTTTTAAAATATTTGCCACTGCCTTTCGATGAAGGTAAATTATACTTGTATAATAATGAAAACTGTATAATCTGTATAATATACAACATAAAATGGGCATAATAAAATCATTCCCTAACATAGTGGCGAATTAAGCTTCAATGGTGTTAATAAGGCATTTATCCCTTTATGAAGATATATGAAATATGGATTTAGCAGTATATAATACTCTGATTATCTCAGTTATCCATCTTAATATATTATGTTTCCCTCATTTTTCAACTTCATCCATTAATATAACCAAGGAAACTTGGGATTTGAGGGATATTTTGCTTGGCTTCCTCCTGTTTTAATGGATTGCATGAAGAGCTATTTGGTAAACGGACAAAAAGGAGAATTACAAAAAAATTGAAAGAGGGGCAGGTAACTGAAACAGAATACTAGCAAATAGCCTGAGTCTGCCAGGACAGTCATAATGAATTAAGACTTTCAACAAACACCAAAAATAACAAAAAGGGTTCTGTGAAAATGTAAGGAGAAAAAAAAATCAAGGAAATGATTCGTAACTAATGGAAGACAATGATAATAAGATGATGGGCAGTAGGAAGAAAGTGTAAGATTTCTTCTTTGCATCTGTCTTCAAGCAAAAAAGAAATATAGTTCATCTTATCAAAAGCATCACTGTGGGAGACAGAACAGGAATGCAAGTCAAAATAGGGAAGGATTTGGTAAGATAATACTTACCTGCTTTGGACAAGTTCAAAATTTCCGAGTTCCGGCCACACTTGGCATGCAGTTCTCAATGAAACTACATCTATGTGTGAGGAAGCATGCAATGGGGTATCTTAAGGTTCTGTCTAGGGTTCAATGTTCTTCAAAATCCTCATAAATGAGCCTAAATGAGGGGGCTGAAGGGGCGTTCATCAAATTTGTAGATAATAAGGGTTCTGGAGGCCAAATCACATGATGAATAGGTAAGGAAATTATGTATGTTATGTATGTTAAGCCTAACAAAGAAAAAACCTGGGAGAAATCTTCCAATATTTGAAGCTGTCACAGAGAAGATGGTGTCAATCATAGCACCTAAAGTTAGGACAAGAAGCAATGGGTGGAAGCTCACCAAAGAAAAATAAGGAGGAATTTCCTGACATTAAGAATGATTAATCAATGGAACAATTTGCCTTCTGGTGTTCTGGGTGCTCTATCACTAGAGGTTTTCAGGAAGTTTGGGCAACCATTTGTCTGGAATGGTATAAAGATTCCTGATTTGGGCAGGGGGTTGAACTAAAAGACCTCGAAGGTCCCTTTTAGCCCTATGATTCTAGGTGGATTTAGCTAGCTATAGACCACTATTCTGTGTTGTGATGGTCCTTCAAGCCAAAAATCTGATTTGTTTTTGTAATATATGTATTGTCACTTATCTAAAGTCATTAACAGAAGTTACTTGGCTGGGGAAATTGGTTAGGGAAACATGGAGAGGGACTTATTTGCTATTATTTTTTTTTAAGAAGGAGGAGGAGAGAGGCCATATATTCTAACATGGAAAGTGCATAATCCTCAATATGCTAATAATAAAAGTATTAATAAAATGACAAAAAAAGCAAAATTTAAGTATTTGCATCCACAAACTTAATGCAAGCTGTATTTTTCCTTTTGACTTAGAAGTATGATTTACTTGTTTTAGTGACATGTGCTGAAAACCAGAGGAAGTTAATAGTGAAGAGATTTCATAAGTTTGATGATGAGGTTGATATTCATAATGATTTTTTTCGACCATATGAACTCAGCAGTTTTGATGACATCTTTTGCTTGGCAATGACAAATTCAATGCGGTATGTTTATTTCATTTTTATTTGATGCTGCATTTTGAACTTCCTGTTTTTCTCCAAACTCTTATTCAATTTTCTTTAAAAAGTATATAATAGAAAATATACTGTAAGACAGAAGCAGCACTGGATTGTTAGAAATTACATGCTGTTTCTGTTTTAATTCAATAAATAATGTGCTAAATTCCATAAAATTCTGTGCTGTGTGCTTCCAGTTTCAAAAGAAATTTAATTCTGTCCAGTATCCATCATAGGGCATTTATAACCAACCTAGTTTTGCAGGAATTCACCAATATAAGATGTTCTGAAATATTTGCATTTTGCTGATAAGTGTGTAGGATACTTGGCTGTGTGAATCAGTTATCAAGAAATGAATTTGACATGGTTTGGATTATTTAACAAGAGGAATGTCATTTAATACATGCAGAAAACAGTGATGTTGGAAATGGACAGTCCAACCAGTAATACAAATAAATCACTTTCTAACTTGCATGTGTGTGTGTGTGCGCGCACACACACACACATTCTCTCTGTGTTTGTATGTACAGTATATGTATATGTGCGCACACACATTTTATGGCAATTATGTCTGAAATACTCTATTGTCCAGAAAAAATATTACTCCTGAAAAGTAATATAGCTTTTCATTTGATTATTGATTTTTCTTTCTCCTTCACATTTCTTCAGAGATTTTATGCCTAAGAATGTTCCCACTGATCCCAGCCCATTTACTGTACGTAAACCAGATGAAACTGCAAAATCTGTTTTGGGGTAAGGAAAGAACTGCTGTAAAAAGCATAATATTGCTTTATTTATTTAGCTATCTTCACGTTAATATGCTATTACTCTGCTAAATGGATAAAATGCAGTGTGAATTGGACCAATGACTATTTTTCGTGTCAAAAGGATATATGCAAATTAGGCACAGAGGCAAATATATGCACAAGGCTGGGGTTTGAATTTCAGCTTCTAAATCTTAAGTAGTTTAATAGATTTGCAGTAAACCATATTTCTGCCTGCAGAACCCACAGAAGGAGATCAGCATCTGTCTGCTTCTGTCAGAGAGATTTATGCTATTGCCTTTTCCTCTGGACTCCTCTGGTAGCTGGACACCTACATAAACCAAACTAAGATAATACCAACTAATGGTAGTATAACTAGCTGCCAGGTAGCAGTGCATTCAGTGTTGTCCCCTCACCTCCCCCCCTCACCCCAAGTAAATGCTCTCTTCTAATGTGGTAATAAAAAACAAAAATAATCTAACAATTACAGAACTACTCCAATGTTTTATTGCCATTGGATGCATGAAATTTCTTTTTAGTATTTCTACTGTTACTTCCTTTACATTTAAGGTTATAAGTGTTTTTGCTGATCTATCTAGTGTCTACCTTACAAGGTTGCTTGTTTAGCGACAGTTCAGTTATTGGGGCAGAATTCAAATCAAATATGAGATAAGCACTCTTCTTTTATTTTCTTCTTTCTTTTTTATACTTCATCAGCCAGGTTATTTGGGTTAATTTTAGCAAAAAGTCATTCCTATTTCTTTAACTAGGCTTATCCCCACACCTCAAGATAGACAATTACTGACCTTGGCAGTGCAGCAGCTGGTAAAGGAAGAATTGTATAGAAAGATTTACAGTATCATTGCAGGAATTTTTAATGTGGGATAGATAACGTCCTTTATTATAGAGTATAATTCAGCTAGCAAACTGCAGAAGGGTTGCGTACGACTTACAAACGGGAAGTTATCCGCTCATTTTAAAGCAATAGATCTTTTTTCCCAGGGAAAAAAATAGAAATGTATGCTAGTCTTACTACTTACCACCTTCCACACATACAAAATAAATAAAATATTTTTATCAAAGTATGTTTAGTTTCTAAAATTAAAAAAAAGCAGAATCTTATTCAGGTAATTATAAATTGACAGTATTAATCACAGTTACTGTACCTCTGGTTTTTCTGATTATTTTCCAATCTTCTGCATTTTTAATGACATACTCCTATTTGCTGATCTACTCTGCAGACAATATTTCTCTCTTTAGTTCCGTGTATTTAAGATCTTATTTTGCTACCGATGTTGCTATGAGATACTGGTTCTGTTATGTTTTAATAAAATAACTCATTTATTATTATCAGATTCAGCTGAAACGAGATGAGTAAGAACATTGTGTCCATTTTGATTTAATTTTTATTCTTTAACCTGAATTGGGAATGGAATTTTGGTAATTACAATTCAATTCATGTGAAGGCCTGTAGGTTGAGATAAGTTTATGTAGTCTGCATACCTCTTGGCTCTATGCTGGATTGCAGGAAAAGTCCAGTTCCAAGTGTCTTTGCCTTTTGCAAAGAAATCTTTTGAGCTACCTTCACCTAATAGGTGCCGTTGAGAAGCATGACTTCTACAGATATGTTTCCCTACTAAAATTTACTGTTGCAACACTGATTTAACATATATCCATCTGTACCAATAGTGCTTTAAGCAGTCTTAAGAATTCACAACAGTTCTAGAACGCTACCTTCAAAAATTGCAGTGATAACAGTCAGTTAATGGTCTTGTGACAGCTGAAGGTACAGAGTTTTCTGTGTTGAGAGACCTTCAAACTCTGTTGATTATCCTAGTTTTGCTCAAATATTTTGTAATGTGCCTTTTAATATTATAACTATTGAATCAGGACTAACTACTACTTCATTTGAGTACACCCAAGAATTTTTTTCTTAAATTTTTACATTCTGTTCTTGTTTTTATTTTTAATGATCCCATTTTAAAAAAAGAACATAAGGGTAATTTCATTTCTTCATCTCTGTCCTCAGTCTCTAAGAATCAATTTGCTAAAAGCAACATTCTTATATGTCTTTAAGGAGGTAAATACTATAATTGTATGCAAGCGATCAATAAGGCTATCTGTACTGAAAACCTAAAGTCATATTTTGTTCTTAATATATCATGCCTCATAGAGAATAGATCAATTGCATTTTTTGCTCTGGAAATAGTCCAGAGGCTTTAAATCATTACTCTTTCAACGATACCAGTGTCAAAATGTTCTGATCTTGATCTGGAGCCTTTTAACCACTTCACTACTTTGCAATTTACTGTTTTCTAGGCTGGACTGTTGGCAAATGACTCAGTTCAGCTAACAAAGTCATCCTTTGCTTTTACCTTTGTTTGTAGAGTTTTACTTGATACTCTAAACATTAAAAGCCATTTTGATTGGATACTTCTTTCCTAATGTTTTTGCACCTCAGATTAAAATGTGTAGTCAAAGCCATAGGTGACATGAAGAGCCAAATGGCCCTGAGGCAGAACAAACTGTAGTTGTAGCTGGAACAGAAAGTCTAACAGAATTTAGCCTCAGAGGATCAAGGATTCTAGCAAGTGAAAAGAATGAAAGCATAGTATGATATTTTATGGAAAAATCCATGAAGCTTCTGTTAAAGGGGCACTTTGTGCAATATCTTACTGCAGCTATAGTGTTCCAAGATCTCTTAATCTGGAGGCATATCAGGCATAATGGTGTCTCTTCTCCCTACTTTTCAAGTTTGACTGGTTTATTTATTTAACCTAGAATATTACTAACTATCAGTATTTTAGCAATTTACTAGAAAAACATTGAAATGCAAGACATTGAAAAAGCTCAGATACAAACATTATATGTCATTGTCAGCTCTTTGAGGTTAATCAGGTCAGGAAACAGAACTATTTTACTATTGTAAAGTGTATTAAAATAAATTTAAAGACTTGCAAGAATATCCCATTTCCACCTCTTAAACCAACCAGAGTCAAAGCAGGATGATTTTGATCTTTCCCTTCCTTCTCCTCTGGCCCTTTTTATCTTTGTATTCTTTATCTTATTCTTCCACTTCTACAAGCTCTGCAGAAAATGTTGTTCAAAGAAAGAGGAAACCCAAATCATCCCCAGACATCCAAAATAAATATACACAACAGCCAAAATAATTAATTAGTAAATAGTATAATAGTAGAAATGATAGTATAGTCAAGAAATGGAACCCTCAACACTTTCAGAACCCTAGACTTGGGTACAGAACTAAGTTTATAAAGCATTACAAAAGGCCAGCAAGGTTTGGGCCAGGGGTGAAATTCAGCAAGTTCTGACAGGTTCTGGAGAACCTGTAGCGGAAATTTTGAGTAGCTCGGCAAATACCACCTCTGGTTGGCCCCAGAGGGGGGTGGGAATGGAGATTTTGCAATATCCTTCTCCCAGAAGTGGGGCAGTAATGGAGATTTTGCAGTATCCTTCCCCTGCCACGCCCATCAAGCCACGCCCACAGAATCTATAGTTAAAAAAAATTGAATTTTACCACTGGTTGGGGCCTTTCTAATCTCTTAGGGGCAAATATTCCACAAAACAGGGCTGTCTTCTGAGCCCCGCCAGCCGACACTGTTAGATCAAATTGGATATTTTATTAACGATATTCTCATTGTAAAAAAAAGTATTGATGAGAGATTGAGAGCAGTCCCAGGGCTTCACATGTTCCTTTACCAGAACCTCATTTTAAATGAATGTTTTCCCACAGCCACCATTTATGTTTACTTGGTTTAACAATTAACATAAACCACATGTTTTTCCTACTTAGGATATCCTCAGGCTCATATTGATGTTGTTAGGGAAATACTACTTCCTGAAGAAGAAATTGAATATTTTTACTCCTATCCCCCAATGTGTCTATCCCCCTATTACTCCTCTACGTGTCAAAAGTGTGCAGAATCTGGATGACAGTCACCAGTCCCCGCCCAGCCCCCCCCCGCAAAACAATCCTTGGGTGAATTGATAAAACGTGATTCTAAATTTTAAAATTTAACATTTGATAAACTTGGAAACATGTTTTGTTGTTAATCATAACAAAAGACAAGTTAAGAAACAAGCTACTGTTAATTTCAGTTCATTAACTACTGAATTTTAATGAAGTTTACATGAAATTAAGTCAAATTTTGGTATGGTTCTTGTCCATCTATTATTTTTAAATGTGTGACTTCTGGCATATTAATCAAAGGTTAAGTGCATCTTTAACTCGGATGAAATATCAAGAGGGGAAAACCTAGCACCAATTAACATAAGGAAAAGAAGAAGAATTCTTTTGTTCTGTTTCTGTTTCTTGAATTTACAATTCTGTCCTTCTTCAGGAACAAAAGCAACCGAGGAGAAGAAACAGTACTGCAACGTAAAACGGCTGCTAGTGCTCCTCCGCCACCCAGCGAGGAGGCCGTGTCCAGCAGTTCTGAAGATGATTCCGGAACTGATAAAGAAGACGAGGGCACTACCTCTCAGCGTTCAACACCTGTGAAAATATCAGATACTGGAGACAATACCAAAATAACAGAAGTAAGCAATTGGGGTGCCACAAAGACAGGCATGATTTTATATCTGCTATTTTGCTTTGTATTCAATATCTACCGAAGGCTTACACATCTGATTTTCTCTCTGCATTGGAGACATTTTTCCCCATTAAAATACAAAGGCAATCACAAGAAGATAAAACCAAAATAAAAACACTGAGGAGGGACTTCGGAAAGCAGATGGAGTACTTAAAAAGCAATTTTAAAGGGGATTGTGCAACTGATTAGATTTCATGCAGAAAATATACCGTGAAGTACTTGATATGTATTAGTGTTTTAAATTAAACTAGGTAATTCAGTCAGGAGTGAAAAATGGATTAATAGAATATTGGCTTAACATAGAAATATAGCTTAATACTACATTTTCGAATAGGAATACTAATTTAACCAGATGATACCCTTGTGCAGACTGATTCACTACCATTATAATGCTTCAATATCTGGTGATGTTAATGAAGATATGTAAACACAATAAGATGAGGCATCTTGGCAATTTTGTTTCAGCACAACTTAGACATTTATGATTGTACAAGGAAAAGTTCAGAGCACAACTGTATGGACAATCAAAGATCAAAATGTGCCTTGTCTTTCAAAACATGATATGCAAGAAGAATTGTATACTTCTGGCCAGATTGGGATTACAAGCCATAGTTGAGGCTGTGGGTAAGGGAGGGGATTACCTATATATCTGGGGGTTTACCATCTCTGATCTTGGACAGGTTTGCTCTGCCCTAGATGGACCTAGTGTACAAGCTGGGAATCCTCCTGTACTCATGATTTGTGCTTGAGGAGCAGATGGCAGTCATAATAGGAGGGCCTTTGCACAACTTGAATTATACGCCTTTCCTAGATTGGGAGCCCTTGTCTCAGTCACTCATCCCCTGGTCATCTCCTGCATGGACTACTACAATGTGCTGTACACGAGACTACCTTTGAAGAGTATTTGGAAGCTGCAAGCTGTGCATGTAACCTCTGCTGCATCAGATGCACTGCTTGCTTGTTAGCCTCCAGGTCCAAACATTTTTGTTTTTAATTTTGTATTAATCAGATTAACAGGAATTCATACTGTCATTCCCACATTTGGAGAATTGTAATATGTTCAAATTGTAGTTGGTGAGAACAAGTCAGGGCCAAATAATGCTCTTATACTAAGCAGATTGCCCTCAAGTATGGTTTTCATCTAATGTCTAAATATTTACATTTAGTATATTTGTTACGTTATTTACTTTATTTATTTATAAATCAATTTGAATACATTTAAATTTGAAAGTTCATTCTCCCTTTTAGATGCCAAAGAAGAGGTTTGGTGGGATATGTAACATAATATTCTGATATCCATGGAATATTAAATATTTTAGTCCCTTCATCTGGAAAAACCATATGATCTCTTTGGAGGTGTGCATTTGAATTTGCACATATAGACTATTTCTCACTGCTGATCTTTTACCTGCTTTGATTTTGCATGGCTATAGTTGCATAAGTTGGGAATTAATGGGAAAATCTTCATTATTACAGATTATTTGTGGGATCCTTCAAATACACAACATCAAAAATTATCTGAAATGTTGGCCCATTTTTAGTTCTTTACCCTAAGTGCTTTCGAAGAGGAAGTATAATAGTATCTCCAAAGCTGAATTGCTATGCCTTACTGAAGTTGGGGAAATTAGATGGCAACATGAGTGTTAATGAGCTGCACCTCTTAATTCCTTTTACTCCAACCTTTGTCCCAAAATCTCTACTTTGCTTCTAGGTAGATGCCTAGATAAACTAGAGGAGGATTTTATTCTTTTGCTCTGAGGCCAGTACTCTGAGACTATAAAGAAGGTTGCAAGGTTCTTTTGTGTCACTAGTCTTGATACATTGCTAATTACTGGAAATGCTCTAAGTTGAGTAATAGTAAATGCTTTGTGTTGAGCACATGTTTTGTGATAATCATTCCCCCCCCCTTTTTTTTTCTGGAATCCTGATCATTGATAGAAATATATCATGTCATGCTTAAGGACCCCTAATGCTCTTAATGCCACTCTTTCCTCACCCCTAGCAGCAGGGCTAACAAATTAACTGACCATGGTTTGTTTAAAATTACATGTGTTGGTGAGAAGCAAAATGAAGATGTTTTTGGCTGGAGTTGTCTAGAGAACACAGCTGTAGTTTGGTAATCCAGCCTTCATCCAGTTTTATAATTACACACTCCACTGGAAAAAAAATCCATGAAGAATTAGAATTAAGCTGATTGTTCATGAGTGCTAACTAGCATTTATTAAATATGTCCTACAGATTTTTCCAATATGAACAAAACTGACTCTAGATATCTAATGAATAGTACTGGATCAGAAAACAGGGAGGAAAAGGAATAGCACTAATATGTTATTTATTACCAGTCTTTTGTGGATTGAAGCATTATTTACACATATAAATGAAGAAAATGGTTTTTTAAATAAATTCATACATTACATATCCCGTTTCTGTTTATCCATTCCTATTCCTTTTCATTCACTATAACATTATACTTCTGAAATACGGTTTTGGATATTATTTACTCTTCTCTGCTGTTCTTTGTGTTCTTATATTTACTCTTTTTTTCCTTCTAGTTATTTCTTATTTCATTTCAGTTTCCTGTTTTCATATTTCTGTTTCCTTTTCTCCTTCTCTTTGTGAAGGCTGTTTTGCGTGTCACCACAGATCTTATGGCCTGAAGACACTATTAAGAAAAGGCATAAGATACACTTATTTCACTACAATTTTCCCTATATAATCCTAAAATGTTACATCCTGAACTCAGATCTTTGTTCCCTTGCATGCTTGTCTGTGGCCATTTCTTTCTCACTTAAGCACCTATCTGTTCTTAACAGCATGGCACAAAATTAACCTTGCTCCATTGCCTGGCTGGCTCATCTTCTCTGCCCTTCACACTTGTATATGGAGAAAATATGAGTCACAGGGAGCTTAAGGGAACATGCAAGAGACAAAGGAAGGTAATGAAAATAATTGTTCCAGTAATTTAAAAATGCAAAAAAGTCCCACCAAATAATTTGGGTAATGTTAACACTTGTAGTGTTGACACATGCACTATACTGTAACATTGCAACCAATTTATACTTATTTTAAAAAATGACAATTTCTTTTGAAAATTAATAAAAGTTATAGACATCTCAGAGGTAGCATCTAATTTTCCTGTATAATATTCAGAGACACATGTGTGTCTCCCTAAAAGCAGATGTCTACAACATTTTAACTCCAGATCATTTATCTCTGTTCAGAGATCCTATAATTCCCAAGTAGCCTAGCCTATTTTGCTTCTAGCATGTGGGAAAAAATCCCTCTTTTTAAAAAAGAACAACTGGCATCAGAATGTTGAAATGCAGTGTACTCCTATGAAGGGTTTTAGATAGCTAATCATGTATGATTCAATATGGCAATTCTCCAATACCCGAGATTCTATTAATTTTCTTCTCTTCCAGTGCATTTCAGAATTACCTGCTTATTTGGACATGTTCTGTACTCATTTGCTTGTTTGTGATGATCTCAGACTTCTTAGGGTTTTTCAGAAGTATTTGGAGTTCTCCCTGTAAAAGTTATATTTCAGGTGTGTTGGAAGATGTTGCCCTGTTGCAAAGATAGAAATAAGTCTGTGTGGAATAAATGGAGTAAAGAAGCTTTTGTTTTTGTTCTCTGACATCAAAATATTCAAATACTGTCTCTCCATAGGGTATAAGATATAGTTTAGTACCAATGTCTAGATAACCTGTCTCATGCAAGCACATGCATTCTAATTAGTAGCTTCTTCTANAGGATGAATTTTTTTCTCCTGCCAACGAACAACTGATTTTGCTGCCAAAGTCGACTCTTTGGGAGCCTGCTCCCCAGATTTGAACTGGAGCAACTAGGAATGACCTATGACGACTCTCTGATGATTGTGTATTTGCCTGGGAAGAGGAAGCCAAATGATTGCAATTATCAATAAGAGCAACCAGAGGTTGGGTCTCCATCTTTCCTGTCAGCATTTTATTTATTTTTAGGTGTGTCTCGGTTTTAAATACCATGTTTTGAACATTTTTTGTGTCTTTTTTGCTTTCGACCTACATTTTTAATTGTCTGGTTGAATGCTGATGTATTTTATACCTCCTTGCTGGACTGTGAAATTTTTACCTTTTTTATTGCTTTGCTCTGGAGTCAGGAAACATTTTCATTTTTGCTGCATGGAAGGCGACAGCACAAAGACTTTCTCTTTGATAGTGATCTGATTTGATTTACATCCGCACCAGTCTACTGCAAGGATTTTATATTTTACTAGTTTTTAAAATAACTTTGCTGCTTTATTTTACTTTGGAATATATCTTTGTTCTCTTTTTTTCTCTCTGAAGAGATGGGAACTTTCTCTTTATTTACTCTCTTATCATGGGAAATATTACCTTAAATCTTTCTGCAGACATTTTGTTATGGAACATCTTTTTTATTTTTGAGAGGAATTGCCTATATTTTGTTTGGATTATATTAAAAATGAAAACAATAAATGAAGGATTAACATTATACATTATGTACTCTTTACAATGCCCACAAAAAGAAAGACAAGAGCCAGATCAATTTATTGTCAAAGTCGTCTTGGAAGCCAAAAAAAAAGATGCTTTTAAACTTACAAGCTCTGACTTAAAATTTAGATAAAAGGTGTGATGATTTAACAACAATCATAAATCGACCTAAGGATGATACTCAGATACAGGTAATAGCAGCTAAACCACACTTGCCTTTGGGTGGATTGGAAGTCTGTTGCTGGCAGAATTAAAGGAGAAGGAGCTTTTATCTAAATTTTAAGTCAGAGCTTGTAAGTTTGAAAGCATCTTTTTTTTTGGCTT